TACGAAATCACAAATTTAGCAATGACACTGCACCCATAATGCTTATTATCCGATTCGAAGAAAAACGCAAAGTTAATAGATTTAATAGATTTATTAAAATAAAGTCATAAACAAAGCTTAAAGTACAAAGTATACAAACTGGAACTAGCGAAGTCAAATATCAATGGGAAAATTATGTAGTAAGCATGAATCAGGGTTGCAATAAGTAATAAGTATGACCAACATACATACATTTTTTAATTAGAATTGAAATTGCAAATGGTTCAGAAATTTACTCTCCCTAACGCCGGGCTTTATATTGCCGCCAAAATGCTTTAGCTTTACCGCACAATCTACTCCAATATAACTCGAATAAGAATATTATGACACTCAATCCCATGCCCACACCGTATGCCATCAAAAGACATGCGAACTCATGCAGCGTAAGTATGTCGTGCTTCCGCGTCCTACTAAGATCTTTTAGATCGAGAATTTTAAATTCAACCATTGCTTGAAATGTCATATCATACCAGTGGGATATTATACCAGCTTCGCGTAATCGGAGATAAAAAATACTCAGTGGATAAATATAGATGGAATTTTCACTGACAGGTACACTCGCTATGGAGCCTTTTGTGTAATATAGATCTTCGGACAGGCGAAATAATGGACGTGTGAAATACTCTTGACGCTGCTTATATATCGGCCATGCTTTTGTGGTCATAACGTAGGCATAACGTGCATTCATTTTACGCAAATCTTCCATATATTCTTCGGCAGTCTTTTGTACTTTAAATGCCTTGTTGTATTTATTCCAAAATTCCTCACCACGAAAGAATTTTACATAATCAACATATCCACTTCCAATTTGTATCTGTAGACCACGCTCAATAACTTGTGAAAATGTCTCAATAGGACTATCATTTGGTGGTACTGTTAGCCATTTCACCATATTTGTGGAAAATAAATTGGCCATGTAACCTCCTAACACGATGACTAGTACGAAAATTATGCGCCGACTCCAGAATTTGGTTCGAAAGATTGTCAGAGGTTGGCAGAATAAACCACGCATCAGGTCCAGGTTCCAAGGAGTTATCACCAACAACAAAAGGGAGCGATCACAACGTAGAGCCCTGCGCTCCATTTTTTCTTGTAGGGTATATAAAAAGCAAAGCAACCAAAAAATTCCGAAGAGTGCAGTTATAAAGGTGGGACGGAAAAACTTGATGAAGAATTGATATGTTTCGAGCGGTGGTTCCACCGGCAACATAGTCACCCATTGAATAAACTCAACTGGGTATATGCACTCATGTAAAGTCTGTTCCAATTGCGGGGTCAATAAAGTTGAACCCACATCGATAGTACCGTCGAGCAATGCTTGACGAATACTTGCTCTCTTTACACTTTCTTGAGCAGACTCATTAAAAATAGTTTCCATTTGAAGAGTGAAGTTATATTTTTCAGCGAATGTTGCTATAAAACAAGCAACGTATCCGGCTATGCGAACAGCACCTTTCTTGTCTTTACGCGTCATTGAAGTTGGTGGAATTTGATCCAGCAGGGTTCGTAATGCCTTTCCGCCTGCATTAGCCAACCGATTCGGATAGATGGGTGTGTCGAAGCGCATATCACGAGTTTCCAATTCGAACACCGGAAATTGGTTGAAGGAATGATAGATGTGTGTGGCAGCGAAATCGCGATGTATCAGCGCAACATTAAGAAATTTCAATTGCTCGCAGTTTTGGAAAAATTTCACAATATCCGATTTGACAGAAGATGCGAGATCCCGGTTGTGCATAGCCAAAATGCGTCTGGTGCGAATATGCAGTAGATCCTCAGCAAATTTCAGCAAAAAATCCTTATCGGTGAGATCCTTCATGCACATTATAGCCAAGATGTAGCTATTGCCTGTTCCACGCACATAACCCGGATGGTTCCTATCCAACAGCAGAAATGGCAGCTCGAAATTCGATGGCAACTGCTCATCTACACAATCGGCTGGATGATTCCTCAACAAAAAGTATCCAACAAATGGACTCTCCGTTTGCACACGCCGAAACAGGTTCCTCAATCCTCTGGTGAAATCGGAAGTATTTGGCTGCATAGCGAAGAAGCGATCATAATCGCTTTTTGGACTAGCCGCCGATAAACCTGAACTCAAGAATATTAAAAAGAGCAAAGTCCGAAGATACATGGCTCCGCAGTTACTTCAAATTGGTTTGATTAGGTTTGATTCTGTTTGCTTTTATATGCCTTCATAATCGTTTCCTACAATCTAACCAAATTTTAGTACTGTCAGCGGCCTTTGTGGGCCACCATATCCATGATGTGGCATTTCTTAATAGCTGAGACAATATCTAATTAGTGTTGCGTAGCCTATGCCAAAACAAGCGCTGTAATTAAATGTTCTGCTTTTGGAAATACGCTGTCTACTTTTTCGTTTGCCTATATGAATGCATGTATGTACATTAGACTGTATCACTCCCCATACAAAAAAAAAACATCGGTCCCGTTTTTCCATTGAAATTATAAAATTATAATATATATAAATATATAAGACTTGCAAATAAATTTGTTGAAAAAATTTTAAGATTTGCGTAAGCTGGACCGATTTGAAAATACCTGCAAAAAAATTATTTTTTATTACTAAAAATAGTTCTTTTTCTTTAAGTATTTGTTGAAGAAAATCATCTCAGATGACAAAACAGTTGAATCCAAAAAATGCATAAAAATAATGAAACAATTTTTCTACGGAATCATAATGAGATTTATGATGCCGTTTTTTAACCTTTTTCAAAGATTGGTTTAAGGAAAACTTTAATAACTCAGCCCAGGCTTTATCGAGCTATGAGGTAGCATTGAAAAGGTATTTTCTTACCCTTTTTATTTCTTTGCAAATAGACTCATTCAAAGTATACAAGAGAAACCTAGGATGAACAAGCGTCATTCCAAGTTGAACTGAGATGTGTTAATATTTGAAAAAAAAGAAAAGTTGGCCGTGAATGAGTTCTTTTGCAAAGAAATAAAAAGAGTGACAAATTGATAGGTACATCGTAAGTCTAAATCACTATAGTTTTGACCAAGTTAATCAAGTTTATCTTAAACCATTCGCTGAAAAAAGTTAAAAACAAAATAAAAAATCTCATTATTACAATTTCGTTGAAAGAAATTTTTTAATATTTTTATGCAGATTTTTTAAGCTTAAACTGTTTTGAGATCTGAGGGGATTTTTTTTCAAAGGGCTTTAAGAAACTATTTTTATTCACAAGAAAACTATATTTTAGGAGGTATTTTCCAATCGGTTTTTCCGAAATATTTTGTTGGACGTCTTCATATATAACCAGATTTGTATTCCCGACGGCAAAACCGAATCTTTTTTTTTGGTATTGCCGTCTAATGTACATTTATTATGTTTAAAGGCTTATGCCAAAATATTTCGAAAAATATTAAGATTTACGTGCGCTGGACTGTTCTAAAAAGTCTTCCTAAAATTGAGTGTTTATAAATAAAATTAGTGTTTGAAAATATTTTTTCCTAAAAATGTCGTCAGATGATAGAAAAGTTTAAGCTTAAAATGTATGCATAAAAATATTTGAACATTTTTATCAACGCAATGCAAATATTGAGGTTGATGGAGATATTTTCAAATAAGTCGCGAAAACTACTTCTTTAGTTCTTCGAAAGCAGAATCCTAAGTTATAGGATGACGTGCCACTTAAAATCTCTAAAAAATGGTTTTGAGTAAACATGTAACCAGTGCGTAACTTTTTACTCAATATTGATTTTTCTTTGAGCAAAACCAATCAAAGGCAAGCAAATTGTATATGCATGCCCTGGTGTAATTTTTTTTGTTTGAGTATGTGTAAAAAATGCTCACCTCTAAAAATTATTTTAATGTTCAGTACTGGATAATCCTTACATCGCACAGTGGGAGAAATGACGAAAAAGCTGGCCTATATTCCAAAAATTGAAAATGTCAAATTGTAATTTGTCAAGAGCAAGGTCCATTGCTGTGGGGTGCAATAAAAATTGTACAAATGAGTAATAAAGTCATAACTGAAATTACAATCGCTTCAACTAAAAAAGTATGTCTGGCCACACTGTATGTGGATTATACAATTACAATAAAAAATTAAAAAAAACATTAAAAAAAATTCCTGCTCTGGGACTCGAACTTGCACTTGCATCTCTCGACTGGCACTTCAGAGCTTTGCTCTGTCGGCCATTGCGACTGTTTGAGCACCGCGAGCAAAATGACATACTTATGCCTTTCACGCCAAGTAAATTTTTCCTAACAAGAAAGAAAATAGTTCTGAAAACTAAGGAGTTGTGTTTTCCTTAAACTGAGTCAAATCGTTTACTCATATTAAGGCAGACATGTCTTTGGAGCCATTTGATGGCAATATTTCTTTAGAATAATAAACTTTCTTCCTAGCATCAAGGAATGGTTTTTCTGAGTGTACACAGGGCAAGAATGCTTTTGGTGCGGCAAATATTAAAGCTGTTTTTGATAGTTTTGATTTTTTGTGCTGTTTACGAATCCGTAAATATAAGGTTTCCATCAGGTTCAGATTGTGAGAAAAGCGAGATCAAAGTGTAAAAAAATCGTGTTTTTTCACTATTTGAAAAGCTCTAACAAAGAATGAAAACTTAAATCTGATTTAAAGCTAGAACTTTCGACTACTGTCCCTGAAAATACCATCCCTTTACCTTAACCTGATGGTCACTTGAAGTCAATTATTGAACAACAAAAAAATATCGGGAAAAAAATTTGCTAAAGTTTTGCTGTTCAATAAATGATTATAAGCAGGGCCGAAAAGTCTAAGCTTTTGATTGGAATTGCTTATTTTGTTTATTCAGCTTTTCCAAGCTTAATTTTAACGATCATGCTTGTTTTGCTTATTTTTATTTATAAATCCAAGTACGGACCTTTCAAGAAAATGGTGAAGGTGTCCGAGGAGGTTTGACATCTGATATTGTACAACTTGCTGTCTCATTTTTTCCTTCCTTAATAATGGCAATTTCTGTTAAAACAAGGGTGCCTTGTACTCTTCACCAACAAATTTTAGCAAACCACAGTAGAAAGCGTACCAAGTTTCTTAGCAGTTTCGTTCTGCTTAAGAAAATTTGGCTCAATAAAGTTGGGCGGTTTTTTTATTCATCGAACTAAGGAAATGTTTGCAAAGAATAACACAAAAACTGGTTTGCTTTTTGTTAACTCGTAACTTCAACTGCATTTCTGCTTGGATACAAAAATTTAAAACCAATGGTTTGTCTCTACGGGAAGGCATTGGTGTTATTAAAAAGATTAAATACAATTTATCTCAAACGGAGAAAAACAAGTAAGAAAGTCTAAGTTCGGGCGGAGCCGAACATTAAATACCCGGCGCAAGTATTAAATATATGTTTTCCACCTTTCCGAAAGCTACCGCTACATGATAAGCCGGGGTGTATACATTTTAAGTAAATTAGCGTCCTTAAATTTCGAAATATTGAAATTTAAAGCATATCTGAAATTTACCGTTATATGAAAAGCGGCCTCAATTTTAGTCCGATTTCAACAATTTTCAACGGTTTGCTTTTATGTGGCAAGCCCAATAACCATACCGAGCTTGGTACAAATTGCTAGAACGGTTAGCGAGATACATATATGTGATCATAAGTGGGCGGGGCCACGCCCATTTTCCAAAATTTTATCATAAACGTATTTCTTGGTAAAGAATTGTTGCAATCATCAATTTTGAATAAATTAGCTTCAATATTTACTGATTTATCGAAGATTTTGTATTTCTCGAAATTACCGTTATATGGGATGTGGGCGTGGTTATTGTCCGATTTTAGAAATTTTCGGCCAGTTGGTATGCTGTACCAGGACCAACAACTGTGCCAAGTTTGGAAGAAATTGGTGTAGCGGTTACCAAGATATACACATGTAACCATAAGTGGGCGTGGCTACGCCCATTTGTCAAAATTTTATAATATTCTTATTTTTCGTCTAAAACTCATTGCAAGTATCAATTTTGAGTGAATTATCTTCAGTAGTTACTAAAATATCGCAGTTTTAGTTTTTCTGAAAATTACCGTTATATGGGAGGTAGGCGTGGTTATTGTCCGATTTTTAAAATTTTTAGCCATTTAGTATGCTGTACTAAGGCCAACAACTGTGCCAAGTTTGGAAGAAATTAGTGTCGCGGTTACCAAGATATACACATGTAACCATAAGTGGGCGTGGTTACGCCCATTTTCCAAAAATTTATAATATTCATGTTTTCCGTCTGAAACTCATTGTAAGTATCAATTTTGAGTGAATTATCTTCAGTAGTTACTAAAATATCGCAGTTTTCGTATTTCTTAAAATTACCGTTATATGGGAGGTAGGCGTGGTTATTATCCGATTTCGCCCATTTTCAATACCATCCGTCCCACGCCCAAAAGAAGTTCACGTACCAAGTTTCGTTAAGATATCTCAATGTTTACTCGAGTTATCGTGTGCACAGACGGACGGACGGACGGACGGACGGACAGACAGTCACCGCTTAATCGATTATTCTTTTCATTCTGATCATTTATGTATACATTTGTCTATATCTATCTCGATTCGTTTTGGCTGTTACAAACAACCGTTATGTGAACAAAGTTATAATACCCTTGTGCACAAGTGCGCTCGGGTATAAAAATATTAAAACAACCAGAGCAAATCTCTGAAAAGCATTAAACTGTACTTAAATTTTGTTGTTTTGCGAGCATATTTGCAAGCAATGTTTTAGTGCTTACCTAAGTGCTTAAAATGAATTTTTTCTTGCTTATTTTCTTCGGCCTTGATTATAAGTGACCTTTGGGTCAAGATGCAGGGATCGTATTTTCAGAGACAGTATTCGAGAGTTCTAGCTTTAGTTTAAGCCTAAGTGGAAGGTTTTCCTTCGTTGATAGAGCTTCTCAAATATGTGTTATAATGTATAAA